AACCTAACACTCCTTCACCACACATATTTTTTGATTTGCACCCCAGTATAGTCGACAAAGACGTAGTTCTACGTCAAAACAAGCTCCAACGATACTTTGACGCCTTTGCTTGCTGATTATGCCACCACGTGGAAAAGCAAAATCAATGCCTCCAAAACACAAACAATCATGTTCCTCCATCAGCAATCACCCAAACTAAAACCGTCTCCCTCTAGTCCAGTAATCATGGAGGCTGCGTGGTCCGTCGAAGTAACCTATCTCGGGATGTTGTTTAACGAAAAGCTCCTATTCCGATTGCATGTAGTATATTACGAAACGCGAACCTTTTGTCAGTGTGAACCTCAACCTGAGGTAAGTTTTCAAAACAAACGATTACAGGCTAGCTTGCAATTGCCCGTTACAGCTAAAATGTTATTATTCGGAATTATGAACCTATGAGATAACGATATTTTTTATTTGTAAGATGCAGGAAGAAGAGGTAAAGTTTAAGAATGACACATAAATTCTGTAAACTTCGCTTCCACAATTAGCGATTAGCTTGTAACAGGATCCTGGGAGGTAGAAGTCGAAGGGTAATATACAACCTTCACTTTAGCGCCAGACAGTTAAGCATCTCCAACTATGTTTTATGTGTCATACACAATCTTTACCTCCTCTTCTTGCATCTTACATTTATATTTTAATATTCTTATTTGTCATAGTTTCAAAATTTCAAAAAGTAGCATTTTAGTAGGAAGATCGTTAACATATATCAAGAACAAGAGGTGTCGTCCTAGGTTGCCTCTTTGAGGGACTCCAACGGTTGTGATTAGAGGAATGCTACAGGCATCATTTGTAGCTACGTACTGCATTCTAGTTGATAGATTGCTTCTTATCAAATTGTTTTTTGGTTCCCGAATACCGATCGAAGTGTAGATCTCTGTTTCGTAAGACTTCCGGAAAGCAAATCATCGTAGTATCGTCGATGTGCTGTCTAGCATAGATTGGGAGAGTATCCTCGATCCTTACAACGTTGAAACTGCTGCGCAAACTTTTTCACATGTCTTGGCATATCAAGCTGAACATTGTAATAGGTCCTAAGTAACATTGATCGATTCTCTTAGTCGACTTTCTCTTTCGTTAATAACTTTAGCACATAACCGTTTCTTGTTGTATTTGTCGTATTAGATGCTAGATAAAAGTTTATTTTATCGATCTGTGTGCTGAAAATACTGGGGAATGTCTTTACATTGCCGTGGGGTTAAAGTCGACGAAGAGAATCTGTCAATGTTACTTAGGACCTAATGCAATGTTCAGCTTGATATGTCGTTGACAGACACGTATCGAAAAGAATTCACCATAAAGTTTCACATCCTCCCAGACTGGTTTCACATTCTCCCAGCTGTGTAGGTTGAAGTCGACCAAGAGAGCCATTCACCAAGTATCGCACGCTTTAGCTGAAACACCAGTTAGCCGTCGATGCTATTTGTGTTATTAACGAGGGATTCAGAGAAAGCTCAAGTCGCAGCCAAAGTCCTTCTGGAATCACGTAAATAAGCAGCGCAAAGAGTCCGGCCTACCATCGTCAATGGAGTTGAACGGTGAAGTTGCTTCTACCAATCAGGGGATATGTCGCTTGTTTGCAGACAAGTTTTCTAGCGTTTTCTCTAACGAGAGATTAGCCATCGAACACGTTACCCTAGCAGCTAGCAATGTTCCACTGTACGGTCAAACACTGGGTGCAGTAGATGTCAACGTCGAGATGATTTTCCCTGCCGCATCACAACTCAAGTCGTCCTGCAACCCAGGACCCGATGGTGTCCCATCTGTATTTCTGAAGAACATATCACCAGCTGGCTTACACCCAATGTCTTCCTCAAGTGGAATATTCCCATCATGTTGGAAATTTGCACATATGTTTCCTGTCCACAAAAAGGGAAGCAAACGAGACGTGAATAATTATCGAGAAATCACATCGTTGTGCGCTACCTAGAAGCTATTCGAGTTAGTCATTATGGAGCCTCTGCTTTAGCATTGCATGCAGTATATAAGTGCTGATCAACACGGCTTCAGTTCCGGTTGTTTCACCACCACTAATCTGCTGTTTCTTACATCGTATATCACGGAAAGCATGGCTGAACGGGCACAAACAGACGTCATACATACCGATTTGCTATACCACGCCATAGAGATGTCCAAGCGCAATCTCACGAACACTAAAATTCATCACCAGAGAGAACTCTATTGCGATTGCCAAACTACAAAGACTTAGGATTAGCGGAAACTTCCTGCGATGGTTTCACACATATCTCACTGATCGTCAGCTGTTTGTTGCTGTCGGTGATTGCCGGTCCGATATATACCAAGTCACCTCAGAAATACCTCAAGGAAGTTACCAACACAGCAAAAAATAAATTTTAATATTACATCCAAGAGGATGCACTTCAATCAACCGGTGGCAACTAACGATTTTAAATTGGTTCACTACTTGACTAGCCTATTGGTCCCAAGCAAATCGATTAACGTACCCCATTCTAGTCAAAATTCTAGTACTACACAATGTTTGTTTTGATGCGCTATGAAAGTTTGACAGATAAAATGAGAGGTTCGTGGATTTTCCTATGTTTCGAGGGGTGCATCGATTAGCTTGGGACCGAAGAGAGTACCAGAGCTGAGCCAAACAGTTGAGCACGTTTCTTCATGACCTTCTGGTCTTAGAGTTCCCTCTATGCTTCAATCATGTCGAAACTTTCATGTAATTTTTATGGCCACAACAACAATAAATAAGAGAAAGAGAGACACTTTATTTTGCAGCACTGCTCCATACCATTCTTAGAGACTGTCAATAAACTACGTAGACAATTCAGGTTTGAATAGAAGGGGAGTAGGCCATTGTCTATGGTTCAAATAATTGTTTAAAAATTTGTTTGTCAATTATGTCAATTGGGTGGGGGAGGGCTATAATATTTAGTTTTCATGTTTAAATAATAAATTCGGTTGGTTACGAATACATCACGATTCAAATATAGCATATGTATTTTTTATACCGTGATAAAATCTAATGTCAGCGGCTCCGGTGGTGTAGTGGTAAGCGTGATGACCTCTTACTCCAGCAGGCCTGGGTTCAATCCCAGTCGGCGCCGCCGGGATATTCTGAGGCATAACATCTCTGATCACGTTTTCCTTCGGAAGGGAAGTAAAGCCGTTGGTCCCCGGTTCATGAGTAGATGAGTCGATAGGTAGGATCCAGGTGTGAGAGCTGCCTCCCTGGCGTCGATAGCATTTGTGCTCACCACGGAAAACAAGATCGACGGAAAACAAATCAAGGAAAAAAAAATGAAGTCTAATCTTCCAGTAAGGTACCGATCATATTTTTTTTTATTATATTGGTGAGAGGCAAGACATGAATACTTAATCACTGTGCCATACCATCCTTAAAACAATTGATTTGAATATCTTCCTTTGGATGCTAGCGAACATGAATAAATGACGTAGCATTTGAGAGAGGAGAGGAGTGGGGTTTCAGAAGTTGTAACAGGCATAGCCAAGTGATTTATGGATGGTCTCCAATAAGAAGCAAGCTATAATTTGCGAAAAATGTTAACTGATAAACATTCAACTCTGTGTATGAACAAATAGTATCATCGAAATTTTTAGATTTGCAACCAGAAAATTAATTTCAAATGTTATATCAAATACATATATACCAATTGAAATCAGCACATTGTGCCGACAGGAACAGATAGTTGAATCGTAAATTATATCCACGTGAATAAAGATAACATGTGTTAATTCGATGGTTCTGATTCAATTTACGATGTCGAAATGAACATGTTTATTTATTATTGGAAAATTATGATCGATATCTAGGGCACTGCATTTTGTTTTCAAAAGAGAATCAAACGTTTTCCACTTGCACTATGAAAACGGTGAAAATATTTAAACAATCATATATAATTTCGATTGATAATATCCTTCTGGTGAATTCCATCACACACATATATTTTTTCACAGCGAGTTGTTTCATTGCAATGCGAATTTGAATCTGCGAATGACAGCCAAAGAAGAGAAAAAATCCATCCCAACATCATCGATGATTGCGGCTCAACATGATTGCACCGTTGATTCCATGCCACCACACCGCGGCATAAGATAATTGTATATGGGTTAGCCAAACAGCCAATCAACGTCACTATTTATTTTGGTGCTGGCTCTCCCTGTTGGCGACAATTCAAATATTATTTTTGAAAATTTTACGCTCCAAATGTGAGCAGCACGCTTTTGTTCTATGATGCTGCACTCTGCGGTGTTATTTTCCCTCACTGTCGGACGTCATTGGCAGGCCGACAGACGACGCTGACTACGCGAGATACCTCGCTTTCCATTGTGATGTGGATGGCGGCAAATATGCTTTCATTCCTCTACATTTTCCATACCGCCTGGAGTGAGGAATATGAACAAAACAAAAAAAAAACGAAAGCTTATGACACATAATTTTCCCCGTCGGAATTCTGCCAGAGAAAAAGCATGGGAAAAGCTCAACTCGCTAAAGCAAATATTTATTCACCGAGCGAAATTTATCCGGAAGGGCAAAGAAAAGTTTCACGATTATTCAATTTCATGACGCTTTCTATGGGTTGCTGTAGGGCATAAGCGTTTTTTTTTTGTTCTCTCAAAGATTCCAGGTCCTATTTCTCCATCCGTAATTGTAATCTAGCATTATATGAAACTTGAAATTCCACGCAAATCCCCTTTGCCTAATTTAGGTAATTAAGCGATTGCTCCGTCGCAAAATTTAATTTATGGTCGTTTATCTAATTTCAAGCCATTTGATTTATTGTCAATTCCCCACTTCAACCGCTCGGCGTTCGTCGTCGTTCTACCGCTACCCATACCTATATGCTTTCCGAATGCGAACGGCGGACGAGTGGGGTGGTGGCCTCAGGTGGAACTAATTCACTAATTGATGGCGTTTCTTTCGGCTTTTTTTTTTTCAATTTCGATTTTTTTTTCTATTTCAGGCGGTAGCACCGACACAAGCAAGGACCACTGCAACAAAACAGTCGACATCTACGAGGATGTTGCCTCACCGGAGGTGACAAATATGAACCGAAACCGGCCGCTCACCTGCTGGTATCGATTCCGCAGCTTCCGAGGGGCACCGCGGGATTTCGTCATGCGGTTGAATTTCAAAAAGTTCAAAGTTGGGAACCTGCTCAATGCAACGCACTGCGAGGGTGGCTATCTGCAGGTAAGGTAGAGTTGCATTGGAACAACTGCATTCTGAACATTCATTGCACGAGAGAATCAAGGATCCATTTCCGGCAACGGATACCTTTTGTCATGGACGATTGTACATTTTTACCCACATACCATCCATAGTGGAAGGTATGGATGCAGACTGAGTAATCCACTCGCAAACCATTCGAGGTTGTAGTGATAAAGTATGTGAGCAAAATTTAGTTTGTCTCAACCACGAGAAGTTTAGTTTTATTAGCAGATAATGAACGTGAAAGCAATTTATCTACATTTTGCAGCTCTGAATCAATATTTGGATGATGGCAAGACACTTTCCTGGTTGCCTTTGTTAGAATAACATTAAAAACAAAACAAAAAGGCATTTCTGAAACTTTCACCATTTGAAAGAGAGGACACTTTTACTTTAATATTTCATTAGTGTTATTTCGATAGTTATAATACAAAAGTACACCCATTTGGTATGAAAAAGTGCACCCGTTGAAATATTTTATTAGTAGAGCAGTTCCACGCGAAATAGGTAAATTACCAGAAATGAGTCATTCTGATTTAGATGAAACATTGTCTATGTTTACTTTAAAACGAAACATTAAGCAACCATGGACCATTTTGGCTCATGTGTTACTTTTTTAAAAGGGGTATGTATTTTCATAGATGCTGTGTTTGAAAAAAAAAACGTATCTCAAAAACTATTGATTGCACTGAAATGGTATCTAAGCAGGGCCGCATTAACGGTAGGCCGATGGTGGACTAAAGCCAGGGTCCACAATTTGGAAGGGGCCTCTGGCTCAGAAAAAATCAATTATATCATTCTCAATAATATGTTTCAAGAAATTAATCGTTGGTTAGTATTGTATAGGGTTAACACACCAATAGTGGAAGTACGTGCAATGTGTTCCTATAGTGACTTACGGAAAATCCACATAGACATAGAGTTAGCTCTATTGTTGTTTAAACGGTTTTGCCTAAGTCGGTTTACCATGCTAATCTGCTATACCAAAATACTGTTTTTTCCCTTCTAAAACTGATAATTTCGGTAATTTTAATATCGATTGTTTGATATTTTTAGTTCAATAAGAGCAGGCCTGCCCAACCTTTCAAAACTTACTTCTTCAAATGGCTGTATCTATTTTCTATGAATATGTTTTAAGCTGCATTTTAATTCTTTCTCATTCATGCTGGGTTGAAATTCATAATGATGAATAAAATTGGACTAAAGGGTGATACGGTCAAAATTTGGTCAATATCAACTTGACGTATTTCTTTCAATTTTGCATTTAAAAAACCTGAACACCCCTCATTTTGAAGGTGTGTGTGTGTAGAATGTTGCTCCTATTTTAATTTTGGAATTCACTCTTCAGTTGTCAAAATGCCGTCCAAGCAAGAAGAGCAGCGTATCAAAATTTTGCTCGCGCATCGCGAAAATCCGAGCTACTCGCACGCAAAGTTGGCAAAATCGCTAAAAGTTGCCAAATCAACCGTTACAAATGTAATTAAAGTGTTTGGGGAACGTTTGTCGACAGCCAGGAAGTCTGGATCGGGGGGAAATCGAAAACCGGAAGCCGCTGAGACGACAAAGAGAGTTGCCGGTAGTTTCAAGCGAAACCCTAACCTCTCTCTCCGAGATGCCGCAAATAAGCTGGGTGTATCGTCTACAACCGTGCATCGAGCCAAAAAAACGAGCCGGACTATCGACTTACAAGAAGGTAGTGACTCCAAATCGCGATGATAAACAAAATACGACGGCCAAAGCGCGATTCCGGAGGCTGTACACGACGATGCTGACGAAGTTTGACTGCGTGGTAATGGACGACGAAACCTACGTCAAAGCCGACTACAAGCAGCTTCTAGGACAGGAGTTTTATACGGCAAAAGGAAGGGGAAAGGTAGCAGATGTTTTCAAGCACATGAAACTGTCAAAGTTCGCAAAGAAATATCTGGTTTGGCAAGCCATCTGTACCTGTGGCTTGAAAAGCAGCATTTTCATAGCTTCCGGGACTGTCAACCACGTGAAAGAGTGTTTGAATAAACGTCTGCTGCCTTTCCTGAAGAAACACGGTTGTTCCGTACTGTTTTGGCCGGATTTGGCATCTTGCCATTACGGTAAAAAGGCCATGGAGTGGTACGCCGCCAACAACGTGCAGGTGGTTCCCAAGGACAAGAACCCTCCCAACACGCCAGAGCTCCGCCCAATTGAGAAATACTGGGCTATTGTCAAGCGGAACCTAAAGAAGACCAAAAAAACTGCTAAGGGCGAGCAGCAGTTCAAGGCAAACTGGCTTTCTGCGGCGAAGAAGGTGGACAAGGTGGCTGTACAAAATCTGATGGCAGGGGTCAAGCGTAAGGCCCGGCAATTCGGATTTGGAAAAGCGGAAGCCTAACTGAATATTTTTCCTGAATTTTATACTAATTGAACTTGAAAAAGAAATTTAATTTGATTTTTGAAATAAACGATTTCACCGATTTACACGCGTTTTCCCTTGACCAAATTTTGACCGTATCACCCTTTAGAATGATGCTATTGCTGAGATCCAGAGACCACGTCAAGCCCGCGGGCCGCACGTTGGGCAGCGCTGAATCAGAGCCATTATAATGTTTACTTAAATTCTAACTCAAATCTTTCTTTAATGCGTTTATTTTTCCAGGCTCATTTGCCGTAGCTATGCGGAGCCGATATTCATCGATGGGTTACAAAATTACTTAAAACTAACGTTACGGGGGCCGATTACTCGCGGATATCTCGAGGTTAGGGGTAACAAATTGTAACAAAAGGGTGGCAGGTTAGGGATTGAGAACACAAGGTTTTTTAGAGCAATGTGCTCTTGATCTAGAACTAAGCGACATACTGGAGAAAAGACAAACATGGGGGTACACCGATGGAGACCTAGCAACTTGAGAGAACACAAGATGACGCTAATTACTAAATCCTCAGATCAATCCGTTTTAAAACTCATAAATTAAATTGCAATAGTCGAAATCTCGGCTCGCCAAGGTGTCTCTAACGGGCCGCAAAGGTTGTTTTCCTCGGGCCCTGAGGGATGCGGATAACTCGGATCTAGCAACACAATGTAGGGTGCATGACCAAAGCACGTGGTCGATATCGTGATCAGTCTTGGCAAAATCAGAAATCAATTGATATTTTTCCGCTCTCATGGGCTCGCAATATCACCCGTGATATTGGAACAAAATATCATGCTTGATATTGATTTTACAAGCTCCTTTGATATTGCGAGACTATTCACAACGTGCAAACATCAAGCTGAGAGTTGACTCGACACAAAAATGATTCCATTGCACATCGTTTTATTTGAAAGAGAAAGCATAGTTTGCTATCTTTTCTTAATCTTCACCGATGGCAGACGCGAAGGGACTGCTGCAAACCGTAATGGAAGTTTTGGTTGCGTTCGAGTGTAAAGCAAAAATCATTAAACTCTATCTCACCACAGTTTGGTGATATTTGCAGTTGGTGAGTTTTGCTAGCTTGATATTCCGAGCTGCGATATCACAGCTTGCAAAATCAACCGCAGTTGTTTGCTAGTTGATTTTTGTCTACGAAAATCAAGCATGATCTTGGGCGTTGGTGAGATTTGATTTTTTGATATTTTCCCAACACTGATCGTGATAGCCACTACCACAAGCGCACAAATGGCTGCCTGCGAGCCCGATTCGGAAGAAATGCGAGTCTAACGAGCAATGATTGGACATGAGCCTCGACATGATTTCTTGCAACATGGTCAGATCAAAATTTACAGAGGAACTATAAAAGTCTTGGAGGCAAATACGAATGGAATTGAATGAAGAAGGGCCAATCGCCAGCGTCATGTACTCGTAATAGCGACTAATGAATCTTGTTTGAGGATTTCGGTCGAGCAGCTTCTCAAAGTTTTCTATTATCAATGGGTTCATTACTTCACAACGGATAAGAAACCGGAAGGACTGTTCCGCGAAACGATCTATCAGTGGGAGAACACCCGCGAGTACTTCGAGGCTCATCGTATGCGTCGAGTGCATACAGCCAAGCGCGATTCGGAGGCAGCGGTATTGAACCCGTTGTAGCTTCAGGATGTGTGTTTTTGCTGCGGATTGAAAGCAGAAGCTACCGTACTCTAGGACCGACAAGATGGTTGTTCGATACAACCTGATCAGATCTTCCGGGTGTGCTCCCCACCAAGTTCCAGTAATTGTACGAAGAAAATTGATTCTTTGTTGGCATTTTTGTTTCACATACGCAATATGTTTTCCCCACGTGCTTTTGGAATCGAACCAGACACCTAAATACTTGAAAGATATACTTTGAGTGATTGTTCTACCCTTTAGTTGAAGCTGTAACTGTGCAGGATGATGCTTCCTAGAAAAAACAACCAACCCAGTTTTCTCCGGAGAGAATACGATACCTAGCTGCATAGCCCAAGTAGACAAATTGTCTAAGGTATCTTGCAATGGTCCTTGCAGGTCCGGTGACGGAAACAACGCCATCATCTGCAAGCTGCCTGAGCGAGCAATTTTCATCAAGACAACCATCAATGTCTTTTACATAAAAATTATAAAGAAGGGGGCTTAAACATGAGCCCTGGGGAAGACCCATGTAACTAATTCGTGAAGTTTCCATGAGAGAAGCCAATATATTTCTCAGACAACAAGTTGCTCAAATAGTTGTTCATAATTGGTGAAAGCCCACTATCGTGGAGCTTATCCGAAAGGACATCGATACAAATGATACAAACAGAATCAAAAGCCCCCTTCATGTCCAAGAAAACTGAACCCATTTGCTGTTTTTGGGCAAAGGCCAGTTGAATTTCAGTTGAAAGCAACGCAAGACAGTCGCTCGTTCCTTTGCCTCTCCGAAATCCAGATTGCGTATCTGAAAGTAAACCATTCGACTCGACCTCGATTTGGCTGAACGAAAAAGAATAATTTTCTCCAACAATTTCCGTATACAGGACAGCATTGCGATGGGACGGTACGAGTTATCAGACGCGGGTTTTCGAATGGCGA